GCAAATCTCCAGCAGGCCCCCCGGATTTCCAGTCATTTTAGAAGAACCATCACCATTCACGTCTTTGGTCAGTTCTGGTTTTAAGGATCTTGTAACGATGACTACCAACCCATTGCAATCACAGAAACTACAAACCCTATGAACTGGAGATCGCTTTTCTCTGTGCCCCACCTATCCCACTATCTGCTTCTCCCTCCTGGGTTGTCATGTCCTGAAAGTGTTTGGGAAATGGGCCCTCTGTGCCTTAGTTTCCTAATCTGCAAAACAGAAATGTTTCTAATGCTGTCTCCATTCAATTCCGTTCCCAAAGGCCTTGTTCCTAGCTGCTGGGGTCTCCACCCCCAAGCTAGATTTGATTGGTAGTAAAGAATTGCTGTACAGCCAATGGCTGGGCAGGAAGACTGAGGTGGGACCTGGGGATTTGCGAGGGGAGGAAAGGAAGAGATAGCCATGGGGGTCAGGGGACCGGGAGGTGGGGAGGGAGCAAGACCAGACCTAAAGACCACCGACACATGAGAATCAGGGGAAGTGGCTACATGGGCCACTTCCCCAACTGTGTTTGGGGTAGCAGAGATGAAATATAGATTTTAAAAGACATTAACTCAGGTGTACCAGAGGGGAGTGTTTGCTAGCAGAGAGAATTAGAACTGCTTAACCGCTGAGCTAGTCAAAGCATTTTAAAACTAACTGTCACAAACCCACTGGGAGCCTGAGTGGTTAGCCAAAATGACCACTACACATAAGAATCGCCATGTGCACTGTTTAACTGACTACTTTCTCTTCCTGATAAATGCGAGATGGCGTTTGCCAAGTCTGTGTTGTGACTTCATTAGCCAACGTGGGAAGGAGTGACTTGTTTATGATCTTGGATCTCCTCTTCAGAAACACAGTCAGCATCACTATGTAATCAGAGCTGGGTTTGGTTTGCTAAGCTGTGCATGGGCTGCACATTTGTTGACTTGTTTAACTTGCTTATCCCTTATTTCTATCGGCTGTTTTAAAAGCTATCTTTGCCCAATTCTTTAAAACAAACAAACAAAAAACTCTGTTTATTATTATCTATTAGAAAGTAAGACACTTAGGCAAATTCTCTGTGCCAAGTCTCTTAGTTATTTGTATTTTAAATATACTCTAATAGATGATTGGTTTTATCCACTTTCTGGCTTCATTACAAAATCATCTGCAAATCATCCCCTACCCCATCACTTCTGGATCATGTCTCATTATCAGGATGAGTGTGCGGGCTAGTTTCATGTCAACTTGACACAAGCCAAAGTTATTTGCAAAGAGGAAATTGAGAAAACACCCCCACCAGATTGGCCTGTGGCGAGCCTGTGGAGCATTGTCTTAGTTGATGATGAGGGAGGGACCAGCCCGTCACAGGTGGTGTCACCCCTGGGCAAGTGGTATCACCCCTGGGCAGGTGGTCCTGGGTTCTAGAATAAACCAGGCTGAGCAAGCCTTAGGGAGCAAGCCAGTAAGCTGTACTCCTCCATGGCCTCTGCTTCAGTTCCTGTCTCCAGGTTCCTGCTTGATTTCTTGCTCTGACTTCCCCCAGTGACAGAGTGTGACTAGAGAGTTGTAAGAAGAAATAAACCTTTTCTTGACCCAGTTGCTTTTGGTCATGTTTTATCAGAGCAAGAGAAAACAGACAGTGAGAAACAATGTAACATGAGCAGGGGAAATGAACCTTAGCTATAAGGCAGATGGAAGGATGGGTGTAGTAAACGTCCCAGCTGACAAATCCTGTACTAAGAACTTGATTAGAACTGTTACACTGGTGGGCTGGAGGGATGGCTCTGTGACTAGAAGTGCTTGCCTCTTAATCCTGATGGCCTGAGTTTGATCCCTGACACCCTAAAGGAAGAAGAAAACCAAGTACTAACAGTTGTCCTCCGATCTCCACACACATATGCCTGCACACCCTGTGCTCACTTAATCTCTGTTTCTCTCCGTCTGTCTGTCTCTGTCTGTCTGCCTCTCTTTCTCTCTTTCTTTCTCTTTCTTTCTTTCTTTCTTTCTTTCTTTCTTTCTTTCTTTCTTTCTTTCTTTCTCTGTGTCTGTCTGTCTCTCATAAACAAAAGTTGAAGAGTAAAGAATTATTATATCGGTTATCAAGTTTGGCTACACATTGGAATTATGTAGGAAATATAAAAAAATACTGATGCCTAAAATTCTGATAAGTGTTCTACATGGTGGCCAGGGTATCTTGGGTGGGTTTATAAAAAAAATTCTCTTAAGACTTTAAGTATGTAGTAAAGGCTGACAATTGTTGCACGGTGGCCATTGGTCTTCAGATTAACAGCAGCACTAGCCTGACACAGTGGAAAGGCTAGCTGGCAGGCTCCACCCGAGCCTTGAGGGTAAGGCTCAGGGCTCTGGGTCTAAACAGACTCTCCGGGTGGCTATGCTGTTTACTCCAGTTTGAGACCACAGATCTAATAGACAGAGAAAACACAGTCCTTGAGAAGGTGAGAGGGAGCAAGGGCCAGATTGGCCTTTTTCAGGTTGGGATGCTTTCCCACCCTAGGAGAGGCAGATGTGAAAATACGGGCTGATGGGTGTTAGCATTTCTTCTAGACTCTGCCCAACAGTTACCTAGCAACAGCTAGGTGGGAGCCTGATTTGCTATAAAAGCTCTCTCACGCGCGCGTTCCCTCCCTCCCTCCCTCCCTCCCTCCCTCCCTCCCTCCCTCCCTCCCTCCCTCCCTCTCTCTCTCTCTCTCTCCTTCCATGTGTTCCTCATAGGCCTCTTCCCTTCTTTCTCCTGTCTCTGTCCCTCTCTGTCCCCTTTCTTTCCCATACTCCCCTCTCACCCCATTTCTCATGCCCCAGATAAACTTTATTTCATACTAGACCTGTCTGTTGTATGGCTGGCACCTAGAGCAGGGGCGGGAGGGTACCTCAGCATGGACTCACTAAGGCACCCCTCTCCTGCCACATCATGTCACAGTATCACAAAACATGTCAATAAGTCCAGACATCTGGTAGCATAGAGAGCAAAAATATGTCTTCTGATGTCGCCTACAGTCTCCAGAATGAGGGGAGGCTGAAAGTGATGAAGGGAGCCAGGCATGCTGGCTCTCTTGGGAGGTTTTGAGGTCAGCCTGGGTGATACAGAAAATTGCAGGACAGCTTAAAGTACAGAATAAAACCTTGACTCAGAGAGAGAAAGAGAGGAGGAGGAGGAGGAGGAGGAGGAGGAGGAGGAGGAGGAGGA